TGTCTTCTGTGTTCCTCACAGGCTTTAAAGTGCCTCTTTAACATCTCGTTTTATCTTTACTCCTCTTCATTTCCTGTCCTTCTCCAAGGCATTCCTTCCTCCTTTCTGGGTCTGAGTGAATGGAACACTGAGTTACCACTCCACAATAGGAGCTGTACAGATGCTAAGCTTTAAAATGCTTCAAACAGAACAATGAAAAGAGTAATAAAAGCCATAAAAATGCTACTTTATTTTTATTTATTTATGGGGTTTTTTTAGCATTTCATCGAGGCCAGGCCCTATACTCCATGCTTCCAGCGACCCACTTCCTTTCTCTGCCTGGCCTCCCCCATTTGATTTCTCACCCCACCACAGGAGGAATGATGGAGGAAATTCATGGAGGAGAGGCTTTGAACTTGAGAGTTAGAACAAGGCTAGGGCCAGGCATCAGCTATGCTTCCTAGGGTCCCTATTAACCCAGGTGATTGAAAGGGAGACAGAAAGGACGCATCAGCCAAAGCCAAAGTGCTAATGTGGTTCTTTTCCTCTCAGTCAGCACACAGCACACGTACACTGGCGTGTACACACACATACACACATGCACATGCACGCACGCGTGCACTTTCCTGCAACCCCTCTCCCCAGCTGTTTTCTGAAGCTGGAAATTACAAGTGCCATCGAGCCTTACAGTGTCAATCATGTCAGCACTTTTAACATGGCACTGGCTGATGCAGGGGTGAGTTTGAATACAACTGAAGAGTATTTTAGTGCATTCAGGCTACTATAATAAAATACCACAGACTGGGTGACAAAAACTACAGGAATTTATTCCTCACAGTTCTGGAGGCCGCCAAGTCCAAGGCCAAGACATGAGCAGATCTGGAGTCTGGTGAGGTCACCCTTACTGGTGCAGAGATGGCACCTTCTCACAGAGCCCTCACACGGTGAAGAACAATAGGCCTCCCTCGAACCATTTTGTAAGGTACTAGACCATTCATGAGGACTCCACCTTCGTGATCTAATTACCTCTCAAAGGTCTCATATCAGAATTTGGGAGGGGTGGGGAAAGGGGACACAAGCATTCAGATCATAGAAAGGACAGAGGGGGAATATGGAATTGGTGTGCTCCAGGGAAAAACAGACATTTCTGGACATTCACTGTGGCCACATTCTGGTCTCCTTAGCACTGGTCTCAAGTCCCCAGGTGTCTATGTACCACAGGAAGTAATCTAATCACACGCCAAATGTTCATTCTTTTGCACTCTCGCTGACGGGCCGAGAGGCTGTTCATCAGTTTGAATTCCAAAAAGGCTTGTAATATAAGCCATTGTTTACACATCAAGTTCCAGTCTATTAATAGAAAACCCAGATTTGTAGTCACTTGTAACTATTTAGACCAATTTTCATTAAACTGTGTTTCAAAAGTTATGAAAAGAGAAACAGTTGTTATTTTCCTTTAGATGGGCCACCTGACTTCTTGGTGAGACTTCTGACATCTTTTGGGCCAAGAAGGATGTGCCTGTTTGCAGGACTGAGTCCATCTTAATCCTCACACTCCAGACAATGTGTCCTACCAAGCAGCACATCTAAGGGCTTAGCAAGGAGAATAGAAAGGTTGAGGTGATACTTCTCCTGGGATGCTGGTGTTTTGATATGCTAAGGCAAGTTTTTAATGTGAAGACAGTTCTGCAGAAAGGAGCAGAAACTCCTCTGTAAACATTTTAATAAGAATAACCCCCGAGCCAATATGCAATTGAGTGCAACACTCTAGTAATTTAATTTATACAACTGCTCACAAGCTGCTTCTCTCCCCATTTTCAGATAGCCCTAGCCTCTAGGTGACTGTAAAAATGATATTTTAATAAAGTGCCACATCTGTGATCAGAAATACTTCATGAAACACTCTCATGATCACATGGTAACAAGGTTCAAAGAACTATTTTCCAGATTTAGGCAGGACTGGTGTGTTATTTGTGGTAACTTTCGTAGGTATACTTTCCCATACTGTCTGCAAGAAATCATACCTAAAGATGAATGTGTAGGGGTCTGGCATGGTGGTACACGCCTGTAATTCCAGCTACTTGGGAAGCAGAGATCAGGAGGATCGAGGTTTGAGGCCTGCCTGGGTAAATGTTTGCAAGGCCCTATGTCAAAAACAAGCTGGGTATTTTGGTGCACACCTATGGTCCCAGCTGCTCAGGAGACCGAGACAGAAAGATCATCATCCCAGGCCAGGCCTAGCAAAAGCACAAGACCCTATCTAAGAAAAAAAAAAAAGTAAAGCAAAAAGGGCTCGCGGAGTGGCTCAAGCAGTAGCGCTCCTGCCCAGTAAGTTCAAGGCCCTGAGTTCAAACCCCAGCACCAAAAACAGAAGGCACCATCCATGAACTGAGACACAAACCCTCTCCAGAGACCGAAACAGCTGGTGCCACAACCGTGGATCTCCCAGCCTCCAGAACGGTGAAAAACTGAAGCTCTGTTGTTTAATTTTAAACAACTGGTAGTTAGCAGTTTATGGGTTCTCATTACAGCAGCAAGAGTAGGGTAAGTCACGATAGGCAGGGAAGGCAAGGTATAGGGGTGAATATAAAATCCCCGTTGTGCAGTGTCACTTCATAACTGGGGCAGTCTCAGCATGAAAGTCGCCCCAATTTCATCCACGTGGAGGGGAGTCAGTTCACCACGGTGTGTCTCAGCCCAGCCTCTTCTTTCACTCTGCTGTTTCCCACAGGGGTCGAAAAAAGGTCAGAAGGTCTCCTGAATGCAAGGAGGAAAAAGAAAATCCAGCGTCTGTCCTCATAAAATTCCCTCCCAGGGCTCCCACGTACAAACACACACAGATACACAAAATCAGGCTCACGTTCTCCTTCCTCTCTCCTCTCCCCCACCTCCTGCTTCTGCCCCAGAAACCCTGCAGTGTCACCACTCGTCCTGCTCCATTCAGCTCCTCTGACACTGGAAGGCTAATGACGGTAGCAGAATGGTAGCCCCAACCCACATGGCTGTATGATGCCCTCCCCTGCAGTGACAGCAGGATCTGGACTGTGATGTCACTCCTCTCACTAAGTCACCTTATAGGGTAACCGAGGGAATTTTTCGGATGAAATTAAAGTCCCTAATCAGTTGACTTTAAATTAAAGTGAGCTTGCTCTGTGTAGGCCTGACCTAATCAGGTGACCCCCATTAAAAGTGCTTTTGAAGGTCTCGAGAAAACACCAACAATGCTTTTCTACTGCCCTTGAAGACATGAATTGTGGGCTGGTGGAGTGGCTCAAGGGGTAGAGTACCTGCCTAGGAAGTACAAAGCTCTGAGTTCAAATCCTAGTACCACCAAAAAAAGAGTCATGAATTGGCACATGAAGAAAGCCACATGAGGGAAAGGGCTTCTAGGAGCCTAAAGGCTTATAGACATTAGCCCTACAGCTACAAAAAACTGAATTTTACTGACAACCAACGAGCCCAAAAGAGGATCCTGAGTGAGCTTCAGCCGGGATCACAGCTCCCGCTGATACCTTGATGGAAGACACAGGTGAGCAGAAGGACCTCTGACCTCTGACCCAGGGGAGCTGTGGGGTGATCAGTACATGGTGTTTGCGGGCATTTCTTACGCTTGGTAGAAAGCTAGCGCAATGATCATGACTACAGCTGATCATTTCGGCACTGGCTCTGTGCTAACTGTTTGTAATCGCTGTACCTCGTGAGTCCTCACAGCCCGTGCGTTTGGCACTGTTACCATCCCAATTCCACACATGCAAACGCTAGTTTTCGGGGCGAAGCCGCAGAAGGGAGGGAAGGAGACAGCAGGATCCGGTCCTGTCCCTGGAGCTCTGGAGACAGGGAGTGTGGCCACTAAACAATGTTGCCTCGGGTTAGAGAAGTCTGTCACTTAGGAGCTTGGCACCAGAGACCCTCATCCTCATAATTACACAGAACAGTCTACCTGCTCCCCAGAAAGAGTGAGCTGAGCGGCTGTCCTGAGATAATCCGTGGCCAGAACTTCCTGCTGGATGGGGTTCTGCAGGCGCCCTCTGGGGACCTGCGATGGTCTGACTGTGTCCCCAAAGCTCATGCAACTGTGTTGAAAGTGACTTTCAGAGGAAATTAAGGGACTCTCACAGGAGTGGGTGGGTCTCTTACAAATGCGAGTTCATCCCTCTCACTATCTCTGGCTCATTCTTTCTTGCCTTTTCACTTCTATCACGGGAAGACAGAGCAAGAAGGCCCTCTCCTCCTAGAACTTCCCAGTCTAAAGAAGTGTAAGAAATTTCATCTTTATAAAATCACCTAGTCCCAGATATTCTGTTATAGCAGCGCACACACACACACACGCAAAATCTCAGAACCTTTCCCTTGAACTGAGAGGTCTGGCCTCAAGAATCACACAGGAGACCCAGTGATCGGACCCTCAGGCCTCCCCTGGCTCCCTATTCCATCAGCTGCACTTCCTGTGTGGGCAACTCAGGAGAGCTGGGTAGACTCATGTCCTCTCTAAGTCGTGATCATAGGGCTGCTCAGTTGGGGGATGGAAGGCACCTAACTGAGGTCAGTCCTAGTGAGTTTGACTCACCTATAGGAGCTGGCTTTCCACTGTGGGTATCCTGTGTGCTGGACTACATTCATCTTCCAGTTGTGCTGTTTGTGCCAAGAGGCACCTGGGGGTGACGTGGTCAGATCAATAAAAATCTGTCCATAGGACATATTTTATTAAATACATCAGCCAGTGACTCACAAACTTATACATTCATTTATTCATTTCTTTAGCCAGGATTTGATGACACCTACAACAGGCCTGGTATTATCTTAGCTGCTCACAGGGAATTATAGCACATTTCAAACTGTGTGACAAGGTACGAGGTGGGCATGACACTGTGTATAAAGATTCCAACCTAGTCTGGCACCAGTGGCTGATGCCTATTATCCTAGCTACTCAGGAGACAGATCAGGAGGACTGAAGTTCGAAGCCAGCTCAGGCAAATAGTTCATGAGACCCCATCTCGAAAAAACCCAACATAAGAAAAGGCTGGCGGGTTGGTTCAAGCAGTAAGAGTGCCTGCTTAGCAAAGTATGAGACCGTGAGTTCAAATCCCAGTGCCACCAAAAAAAAAGAAAAAGTAAAAAAGATACCAACCTAAGCCACCTGGGTGTTGGGGGGGGCATGGTCAATTACAGAAGAAAACAACGAGTAGTTCAGCTTCAAAGATGTACCCCAAAAACTGAGCCTACCATTTGTCTGTGCATTTTATTTTCAGAAAACATACATCTGGTCACAAAACAGCTTCAGAGAGCAGAATAAGTCATGAAGCATACTGAATGGATCTGAACAATAAATCTGAGGCCACTGCCATGTTCGAAGGGTGGAGCTGACACAAAGTTGTTTTCTCGGAAAAGCAAGGTTACTTGAAGCTGGGAGGCCCAGATGGTCGTTAGATTTACAGCTATCTAAGGAGGGAGCAGACTCCTGCGAAGCGCTGAGTTATGATGGTGATGGCTCCTAGCCATTGATTAGCTACGGAATGAGAAGCAGCGGGGAGATGGTGGTGGTCACCGTCTTTATGTAGTTTTCAAAGTCGCTTCCGAAAAAGAAGATGAGGTAATAGTTGAGTATTCCAGCCAGAGACATGAGAAGCAGGAACAAGATGATTCGTTTCCCAAATATGTAGCCAGGGGTGCTGGAAAAGAAGGAAAGAAAGCTGGAACCGTGGCACAAGTGACATGCATTTCACCAAAAAACATCCTCACTTTCAGACCCGGGGGCTTAAATGGTAGTGCCTTTTACTCAGCAATGCTCCATTTACCCATTTACTTCAGATGAAGGTGGAGGTGTCTTTGCTATTATTAGTCATTGAACATGTTTCAAAGTCAAGGCCACAGAGCCTAGACCTCAAAGCCCACCAGCATTAGGGCTTGGTGGCACCTGCTTCTCTGTGCTCTCCTGCTGTTCTCAACTCCAGCTTCTGGATGGGGAGGGTGGTGGGTCCTGTTGATTGTCACACAATCAGCCTAGGGCTTAGGAACACCATTAAGACCCTCTCCCGAGGGTGGGTCTTCTCACAGGTGTCTGTAAGACCCACGGCTGTGTGTTTACTGCAGGACTGTGCTTGGAGGAATGTTTAAGTTAAGCAGGTGGAATAATTCCTGCTCACATTACGACACTGAACACCAGCGATGGAAGACAGGCCCTACATTCTTGAGTGGAGGGAGAGGTACTTTTTAATAATTCCTGTATCCCTCTCAAGGGCTCTCAATCCTAAATTATTTAGGTAAGTCACCAGCAAGGGACAGGAAGAATTTCCCAAGGGAGATGTGAACACTTAATTGCTTGCAGCGGCCACCTTTGTCTTCTCTTGTTCTGCAGGATCCTCTGGCCACTGAGCCCATCTCTGGGTCCATCTGAGTAGAGCTATGTATCTGGAAAGTTCAGTGAAATGGCTCATTAAGGATGTTAGTGAAGACCGGCAAGGATATCCTCTGACAATCAGGACCTCTCACCGATAACAACCAACTCAGCCAAACAGGGCGTCCATGCTACTTACTACAGCTTGCTTCTTACTATGGCCAGAGAGAGAGAGATGGAGAGAACTGGGCATCCACTGGTTTCAGGCTAGAAATTTTATCTGTGTGGAAGGCATCCCAAAGGTTCGAAATGGAACTCATCATGTTCCCACAGCACAAGTGTGAGAGTTGCTTGGCAGTTAAGTATCCTCTTCCTCTCTACTCGAGTATGGTCTGTGGACCAGCCGCAGCAACAGCTGCCAGGAACTCGTCAGACATGGAAAACCTCAGGTCCTTCTCAGCACAGGGAATCAGACTCTGCATTTCAACCAGGTCTCTAGGCTATCTGAGAAGCAGATAGCTGATTGTTACAATTTGGGTATAAGATGTTGCCAAAAGCTTACGTGTGAAAGGCTTGGTCCCCAGCCCATGGCACTGCTGAGAAGTAACCAAATGATTAGGGCACAAACCTCATCAACAGGTGGAACCAATGATGAGTTCATAGCTGAAGGGGCTATTAGGAATTGGGGACACCGGAAGTGGCAGGAAGTAGGTCAATGGGGATAGGCCTTTGAAGGGTATATTTTGCCCAAGGTGTAGCTCGCTCTCTCTTTCTCTCTCTCTCTCTCTCTCTGTCTCTGTCTCTCTCTCTCTCTCTCTCTCTCCTCCCTCCTTGGCCACCGTTGAGCAACCTCTTTCAACCAGTGCCTGTTCCCACCATCATGATATTCTGCCTGAACCTTGCCTCAGGCCCAAAGCAATGGGACCAGTGGATCATGGACTAAAACATTTTAAACCATGAACCAAAATAAACCTTTCCTTCCTTTAAATCATTTTCTCAAGCATTTTGTCACAGCCACAAAAAGCTAACACACTGATGCCACTCCTCCTCCTTGACCAACTTTGTCTTTGTCTCTTTGGTTGACTGTTCCCAGCCCTGCCCATGAAGTAAGGCATTCTGAGTCCTTATTGGGGAGCAAAGTTGGTCCCAAACTAAAGTATGGGCTGAACTGTGTCCCTTTCAAGTTTATGTGTTCACGTCCTAACCCCTAGTACCTCAGAATGTGACTATATTTAGTGACTGGGTCTTTCTTGAAATTGTGGTTAATTTATTTTCTATATATGATTCTGTTTATGAAGTATCAGAGTAGGCAAATCCTTGGACACAGAGAACAGATTTAGGAATACAGGAAAAATTGGAAACAGTCAAAATAATTTTTAATCCTGTCTATTTGAAATGATGCCTAGTCTCCCAGGAAATTATGGTTAATTTCAAGGCAAAACCCACTGAACAATGAACGGATACTAAAACAAGGAAGGGCAGGACTGCAGAGCAGGTTGTGTTATGGGGAGGGCTCTGGTGGGAGGGGAGGGGAGGGGAAATGAAGAGGGTAAAGGAGGGTGAATATGGTTTCAGCACTTTCTACACATGTACGACTCATTTTAAGAAGAGGAACAGGGGAAGAGGGAGAATAGTGGAGGGAATGAACCAAACTGGGGTACATTTTTTTGAGGTAAAGACATAAAAAGTCTATTCTTTCAGCAATTGTGAAATATGCAATACGTTATTATTAACTGTGGTTACCATGCCATACCACAGGGCACTAAAACTTACTCCTCCAGACCAACTGAACCTTTCTACCTTTTGATCAACAGTTCCCATTTCCCCATCACTCCTGGAGATTGGATATTTGCAAGGCAGTTAAGGTAAAGCTCCTTATTTGGGGAGCTCTAATCCACAATGACTGGTGTCCCTATAAGAAGAGGAGATTAGGACCCAGACAGGTATAAAAGGAAGATTATGTGAAGAGACAGGAGGAAGACAGTTGTCTGCAAGCCAAGGAGAGAGCTTCAAAGGAAACAGCCCTGCCAACACCTTGATCTTGGACTTCCAGCCTCTAAACTGTGAGACAATTTCTGCTATCTAAGCCGTCTACACTGCAGGCCTACACTGTGCACCCCTAGCAACCCGGAGTCACCTGCTAGTGCTGGTCAAGGAAGTGAAAACAAAGGTGAACAGTAAGAGATAATTTTTAACCAGAACATAGGTGGTTCAGAGAAATTAAACTGTGAAAGTCAAATAACATAGTGACTCACATCACGTGAGTGAGGGGACCACAGGGCTTATTCCAGAACCAAGGACATTTACGTCCAAGGCAAAAGCAAAGTGAATAATGAAATGACAATGCCTCCTGAAGACATGGTGGCCCTTGAATTAAGGGGACATTTTCAAAGGTGTCAATGCATGTGGCCCCAAAGGAACCAGGACAGGGTGCTTTAACTTTTGCTAGACCAGACACAGGGTGTAGTAAGAGCATGGTCACATGCTTCAGTCCCTGCAGGGCTAAACTCCAGTGTGGGCCCAGGTCATGACCTGCACAAGATGTACCTATCAGACTCTGGAGGTTAGACATGAGGTCAGGATTAGACATTTCTTCTAGTATCTTTCATTTCTATTGATGACAACTGCTCCGAGCTCAGGATTAAGAAGGACTCTGAGATCAAGTTTGATGGCCACACCCTGGAGGTGGGCATGGTGAATGCATGGAAGAATTTGACTCGGGCTAAGCAGAGCCACAGGGACCTGAAATGAGGCAGAGAAAGAATTGTGGGGAGCCCAGACAGTGCTCACACAGGATCACTAAGCCTTGAACAATCCAGACAAGTCTTGTTATTTCTGAAAGCTGATTCATAATTCTCTCTCAATGGGTGGAGAAGGTCAGAAGTTAATTAAGGAGTACCTGTCAGGGCCAGGTGTTTTATGTCCATGTCATTTAATTCCCACACCCACTCTGTGAGAACACATGATAAACCTATTTTCCAGCTAGGGAAACTGAGAGCAGAGGGTGAGTGATTTGCTTAAGACCACACAGCCAGGAAGAGGCAGCATGGGAGTTAAACCTTCCCATGTGAGGCCAGTCTCTGTGCCACACTGACTTTCTGAAGATTCCTTCAGACTTGGAGACTAGGATTTGATCATTAGTTTTGAAACAAATGGGCCATTGAGGAAAACACATAAAGCTTACATGGAAACACCAAAGAGGAATTATGTTCAATGATTCCTGTCTGGAGTGTACTAGAAACTTCTAGCATGAGATGCTGTGGTGTGGGAAAGGGTGAACCTGGTCATGCTTAAGCTTCAGTTCCAGTCTCAGGTTGATACTACGTGACTTCTGGCCAGTCACTCTCCTCCCCAGTTCTTAATGTCACATATGAGGGAGAGGCAGAAAACCTTATAGTCCCTTCTGCTCTTCAATTTCTGTTCTTACCATAGGGAAATGCTACTTTCAGCCTGGTGACTGCTAAAGGAAATAAAAATAGTAAGTTCCATGAAAGCATGTTGTCTGCTCCCTTCATTCAGGTAGCTTCAACAAAACAAGCCTCCAGCAATATTTGGTACAGAAAGGAGGCATGGACAGCCTTCAGGGGTTCAAAACTCCAGCATGTATTAAAATCACCTGAAGAGCGTGCTGCAATGCAGATCCCTGGGCCCCCTCCCCTCACAGAAATTCTGAGTCTCTACATCTGGGTGAGGCCCAGGAATCTGTCTTTTTAATTAGCACCCAGATGATTCGGGGGTGGTTCTTTGGCAGTTTTCACTTTTAGAAACACTGGCTTTGATATTTAGCTATGTACCCAGGGGCTTCCAAGCCCACCCTGGAACTCGGGTGAAGTACTGCCATGGTCCACATTTGGAGGGACCCAAGTCTAAAATATTGACGATGGAGGAGAGAAATTACTACAAGGGATCACTTCTCTAGTTTTTGAAAACTACGTTCATTATTATTCTGCAAACTGAATATGTTTGCCCTTGCAGCATGTCCCTGACTCTACGTGACCCCTTGGCTCTGTCATCTTATTGTACCTCAGCTCCTGGCAGGGGGCCTGATACAAAGAAAGTAGTCAACAAGCCTTTACTGAACGGATGCTGAGTGAGTGAGGAGTGGGTCAGCAACCAAGGAGAAGGTGGAGCTGGGTAACCTCTGTCCATTGGTCCAAAGAGTCACCAGTTGCCACGTTCCGAATGTGTCCCCCACAATTTGTATGCTGGAACTTAATTGCCAATTTGATAATTAAGAGGTGAGGCAGGAGAATAGAGAAGTACAGTTTGGCCAAGAGGAGGTGGGGACAGACCAAGACATCCCCCAAGTCCTATCTAGGACATGCCCTCTTTAGGAGACATCTGGTTGGGAATGTCCTTGAAACCATCTTTTTGTGGTTAATTCAATAGCCAGTCCACAATGATAAAAGAAGATGTTTGTACAGAAGGGAAAGTTCTGGAGATAGCCCATCGCCGAGGCTGGAAACCTGTCCTCAAATGGCCTTTTGAGACACCCCCCCATAAAAAACATCATACACCTAGACTGCATCTTATGAATGTAATTACAACAAGGCATTATGGGTAGGGCATGCACAGTAGGAAGTATGTCATAGAACATCTTCTTGTCAATCAAACCTGTCAATCACCACAGTCCCTCCTGCAAATTTTTCCTGCCATTTGCCCTTACAACATATAAATTGCCCTTTGAATAAAGATGGGGGCTTCTGTGCCATCTGCTCAGAGCCCACCACACTGTCTTTCAGTATTTCCTCCTGTCTATACTTCTCTTTTTCTTTTAATAAAAGCGTACTGCTGCTCGCCATCTGTGTCTCTGTCCAATGTTCTGTTCAGAGACACCCTGGACCTGAGAGCGTCTTGACCAGGGTGGTCTGAGACCATCCACCAGTAACACCAGGAGATAATTAAATAAAGGCGGAGCATGGTCAATGGAATCAGCAGCCTTATAAAGAGGTTGAAGGGAGCACCCTATGCTCTTTGCCTTTGTGCCATGTGAGGACACAGCAACAAAGCACTATCTTACAAGCAGAGAGCAGCCCTGCCAAACCTGCCAGCACCTTCATCTTGTACTTTCCAGCCTCCAGAACTGTGAGAAATAAATTCCTGCTTCATATTAATTGCCCAATCTTTGGTATTTTGTTATAGCAGCCTGAACTGACTAAAACACCAGCCATTGCCCACTTGCTATTGAACTAAGAACTTCAACTTGACAAGATGAATTTAGTGGCAGCCCCACCAGGGGACAAGACTCTGAGGGGACAGATTGAGGAGGCAGCCTAATGCTGGCTGGGGAAGGTAGATGGTGAGGGGTAAAAGGTCTTACAATATGACAATATGACATCAATCGCTATTGAGTTTGGGCCAGGATAATAACTTAGAGTGAAAGGAGAAGAAGCTACAATTCATTTTAACTACTGTAGAGAACTGGGCATCAGATGGCCCACACGGGACAGGGAAGAAGGGCTTGGTAGGTGGGAGAAAGGGCTGAAAACAAGAGCTATGAACTTCTAGAAGAAGGAGGAAAGCAGGAAGCTGCAACAACCTCACAAGGCAGCCTGAAGCCAGAAGGAAGACGTTTTGGTGGGGGAGAAACACGGACAGGCATCAGATCCAAAAATGAGATGGGAACTTCTGAAGTGGACAGAGCCAAAGCAACTTCTGGGAAGGAGCAAGGGATGACCTGGAGCCCAAGAGAAAAATCCTTCAGGAAGGTTCTCATTAAGTATTATCTTCCTCAAAGCATTAGGGTATCACTACATGTCTGTTGAGTCCGAGTGTGTTACAGCCCAGGAACAGAGGGGGCGTTAGGAAGGTGGAGCCCCAACTGAGGAGGACATTAGCAAATAGTTTCTAGAAGGCAGAACTGAAAGTCCTCTTGGACTCAACCACATAACGCTCAGGCTCGCATCTACTTCAGGTTGTGTTTTGGTCTATATGAGGATTGCACTTTTCTTCTAGTATCTATCTTTTGTATCAATGACAACTGCTTAGGACACTGGATTAAGAAGAATTCTGAAACTAAGTTTGTCTCAATAAGAAAGAGCTTCATTGGTAGGAATGTAAATTAATTTAGCCATTATACAGAACAATATGGAAATCCCTCTAAAAAACAGAACCACCATGTGATCAAGAAATCCCACAACTGGTTATGTATCCAAGGGAACTGAAATCAATATGTTAAAGAGACATTTGCATCAGTGGGCGCATGCATAAAGAATATATATGTATATATATACTCACATATATATGTATATATGTGTGGAATATTATTCAGTCATAAAAAATAAAGAAATTTTTTCATTTGCAGCAATATGAATAGAACTGGAGGACACTGTGTTAAGAGGAAATAAGCCAGACACAGAAAGATAAATATTGCATGTACTCACTTATATGTGAAAGCTAAAAGAGGCAGAGACTAGAACAGTGGTTACAAGAGACTAGAAAATGTGTGGAAAAGGAAAGGACAGAGAGGGGACAATTAACAGACACTGGAGTGCCATTGGATAAGATGAATAACTCCTAATGCTCCATAGCACAGTAGGGTAACCATTGGTGACAACTAGTTGTATAGTTCAAAATAGCTGGTAGAGAGAATGTGGAATGCTCCCAATGCAAAGCATTGACAAGCGACTGAGATGGTAGATACTTCAAACACCCTGCTCCGATTGTATGCATTCGCTGAAATGGCACACAGTACCCCATAACTATGTACAATTAGCACCCATCAGTTAAACATCAAAACAGATTTAAGAGAAGGAAGGAAGGAAAAGCAACACCACAAAGCATCACTAATGCCTACCATTGCTACAGAGGAGGTGAGGAGGGTCTAGAACCCGCACATGCAGGGGGTTCAGAAGCTGATGGGATCTTTATCATCCTCTAATGATGGACATCAAGAAAGGACTTGAGAGGGGGGACCTTTTACATTTAAATGAGGTCCAGAGGAACTGGATATTTTTAAGATCTCTTATAATTCTATAGCCTATTGTTTATCTTTGCGATATCTGTTCATTCCCTGATAGTGATTGCTTTATAAAACCTTTAAAATCAAAAGAGCCTGTGGATAGGTGGACAGATTTTGTCATGTACCACAGATCATCTCAGACTTAACAAAACTGTAGAATCTCAAGCATCTGGTGACAGAGGAAGAGAACAGTGACTGAACCCAATCCCTGAGACTTCAGGAGAGGAAGACAGGACTGCAAAAGAATCCAGCCCAAGAGACAGAAGACTCCATCCCCTCTTAACAATGTGTAGTAACCTGGGGGAAAGGTACAGGAGATGTTTTCCAGGGTAAAAGAGAGTACCAGATATCATTTAGGACAGTGTTGATGAGGGTAATAGAGATAACAAAATTGTGGTTGAGTGAATAGCGAGGAATGAGACAGAAATGAGGGAGGGGAAAGAATTGACATAAAAATAGCCAATTCTTTTCCAGGCTGCAACCCAGTTCACATTCAACCCTCTCAAGTCATGGATCCTCTGCAAGCTCCCAGGTTCCCCATAGGTAGCACTTTCACCTGTGAACTTCCCGGAGATGTCATTCCCTTTATCACCCCTGAAGGGCACTGTCCATTAGCACCAGAGATGGGTGCTGTTGCAAAACACAGAGCTTCAGGGGAACATAGCCAAGGAGGAAAGTGATGGGGGCCCCAAGAATGTACTCCTGGCTCTGGGAGCCCTTGGGTAAATCAGGAACTCCAGCCTCCAAGGAACTGGTGGCATTCTGAAACCCAAAACATCTCCTCACAAGTATCATCACTTATTTTACCAAAATCCACGTTGTCTCATGTGGGTGTCATGAAAGTACAGAGCTGCCCTGGGGCCTCCTGCCTGGCAACATCTGTAACATAGACATGTTATGTTCTCAACATTCCCTCTGCGGTCCTGGGAAGATCTGTTACTCAAGAGAGCTTATCACATGGTGCAAGCTTCAGATCTCATTTCTCACAGCAAACAAGGAAACGATGCATTCACAGGAAGCTCAGGAAGCCAGGCATGAAAAGTCATTCTGGGCCAGACTCCACAGGGTGGAAAGAGTCGGGTGGGGTTGCAAGGAATGTGTAGCACACAGTGTCAAAGCGCCCTGTGTAAGTCAGTGCTACGCCAAGGAATTTATGCATGGGAAAACTAGCCAAGTCCCCAGCTGTATTTTCAGCCCTCCCCTTCTACCCAAACTGATCCTGCAGAGCCTTAAGAGGCAGTCAGGACATTGTTTGGAATTGTCACACACTCCCACCCCATCCCCCACTGGAAAAGCATGCAGAACTCCAGGTTCTGCAATAGTGCCCAGGACCCACCTCTGAGTTCTCTCTCCCAGATAGCCGACAAAGTACTTTTGCCTCACAAACAAGTACATCAGTCCAGCGAAGGCAGCAGGAACTTTGTGGGAAAATAAAAGCACATGCATTAGCATTAGTTTCACAGAGGCCCAAACATGTTTTATTAACACATAGTAATGCAGTGATCAGTGTTGGTCACAAGATCCAGCAGAGGCGATAGGTTCTGATGGGTGGAGGTGGGGGTGGTTGTCATGCACTAGTGATTACAGCCAAAGGGCTGGGAGAAAGTAAAGAACTTGACTAATAATGACATATCTTATATGGGTCCCATGGCATGGTTTAGGAAGCATTTGCTTATCTGTCATCTCACACTAATCCTTTCAATGTAACTGGTACCAACATGTTTGTCTCTAAATGTGAAAGGTTGAGCTCAGATGGTCAAAGAGGCCTGTGTAAGGCTGTCAGCTGGTAAGAGGGGCAGGACTTGCACCCAAGCCCAGCTGGTTCTCTTGAAAGCACACCCTTTACCCCTGAGGCCTGGGCAGCACAATACTGGGTTCCTGGTGTTGTCCTGGTACCTTTGGTACCATCTGGAGGAGGTCTCTAGGGAAAGACATTCCATTTGCATACTAGCCTCTGAGAAAAAGCCACAAGTAGCCTCCCAATAACCCCATGGACTCCTGATCTTGGAGTTGAAAGCTGAAAAACCAGACTTCCTATCTACTAGAAATGAGGGAGAAAGTGGAATAGGGCTGGAAAAATAAAAGCACTTTGAAAACTTGATGTGTGGCTCGAGGTAGAGCACCTGCTTTGCAAGTACAAAGCCCTGAGTTCAAACCCTGGTCCCACCAAAAAAAAACCCATCAAACTTCCAAACATAATTCAAACATCAAACTAACTGTCACTGGTAAGCATTTTTTCCAGCCATCTGCTGGTAAGAGGCATTTTCCTGTTGCCATTGCCCAGAAAGGAAATTTAGGCTCAGACCAAAAAGATCAATTGGAGACAATTGTCTTTTCCAAGATCCCATAATATATTCCTGACACATCTAGGGTTTCAAAAAAAATATTTATTAAATGAAAAAATCAGGTAAGTAATCACAGAGGTGAAATGTGGAACCAGGTCTTCTTGATTTCAAAACTTTGTCACCAGCATCATGAATAATAATATTTTCAGGGCTACAACTGCCGAGCTCAACCATACAAAATTGCCACTGTTGTAGGTCATAAATGGTCACATATTGACGGAGGCTCAATCTGATATCTGCCAAGAATAAGTTAGGGCTTCGTACACATTTGTCATAGGAACACGACTAGGTAGAAAATGGTCCTGTTTTACATTGGAGAAACTGAGGCTCAGAAAAGCTGATAAACAGGAGGGGAGTTGGCTTGCCTCCAACCTGTCACTCCCGAAGTTCTTTCCACAACTCCACCTGCCTTCCAGAACACTATAGTTACAAGGCAGAGAAGAAAACTGAAGCACAAAAGAAACTGTTAGTTTTCTCCTTATTCTCTGAAAATCCATGATTTTCCTTGGACAAAGTTTTTCCTGGGTTTCCCATCTGGATGGCTGTGTTCTGACTTATTGGCCCATTTCTCTTTCAATGGGAATGAACTTGAACATGAGCTAATAGCACCAGGGGTGCAGAGGGTCCTGCAGGGAATGGCAGGGCCTTCTGTGGGAACCTGAGCCACCTGGACAAATCTGGGCTCTAAAATTCTGAAGCTTAAGCAAGCCACTTGTCCATCTGGGGCTTGAGCTCCTGCTCTGTAAAATGAGGACTTTGGGCTAGATTTATCTCTGGAGTTCCTCTCCACTAAAAAATCCATAATCTACTATGTTCTTAGACTATGACAGTGATCATCCAGGACTGACTGACATGTGTGAGCCCTGGCAATAGAGAAGCTTGTTTTGAAAAGAGATACATATTTCCAGGGCTCCAAGCCACCTTCCAACACCTTTTATTTCACCTAGCTAGAGTCACTGTAGACTTCCCCAGATCATATACTAAGCAGACATAAAAGGAGCCATAACTCCTAACATGAACAGAGTTTGGATTGATTTTTTTCAAGTAATGTCAGACATGAGTCTTATTTTACTCAGGACAGAAAGTGGAAAAAAAAAAAAATGGCAAGGCTACTAACAGCCTTCCAGGCACAGTGGCTTCTGCTGCCAGTCCCTCTCCTCTGTCCTTTATGGTGTATTTTGCTCTTGGCAACAACACATCCATCCACCTACTTTTGTCTGGTCCATCTTTGCAACCAGTGTGTATTTCATACATCTCTGTTTATTTATCTCTGTATATCTAGCCAAAGGGCTTGGCATATAGTAGAAGTTCAACCTATATTTATTATATAAATGAATAAAATAAGAGGATGCTTGTGGAAAAATCTGAAAGGCCTGAGTTGTGATTTTGCCTCTATTGAGTAACCTTGAACAAATGACTTTATCTCCCTGAAACAAAGTGTCCTCAAATGTCATAGGGATACTTAAGGAGATGATGAGGATTAAATAGTTCATCAAGAGGACTGGTGTGGACTTTCCAAATGAGCCACAAAAGCTGACCTGTTCACACCGAGCCACCCTTCAGACAGATGCCAACTGTGGCCAAGCCTGTCTGGTGCTAACTCTCCAAAGAGGACCAAAAACTATGATTCTGGCTTCCATTTAATTTTAAATCAGTTCTGTTTGTTAATCTGCACTTCCAACATGCTGAAGTCAAGACTGTGAGCACCTGATAACCCAGGGTAGGCTGGGGACCCGGAATCCAGCCCGTGGCTCAGCAGCCATGTGCCCAAAGTAGGACCACCACGCGGGAAGCTTATTAGCAGAAGAGCCAAGCAACAGTGGGCCCAGAATAGATCCCTCACCACTCTCATTTATGCCTTGTATCTGAGCTAACACTACTTAAGGATTCAGAGCCACATTCAGCCTTAAACCATTCTTGTCAGTGCAGCACTCTCTCCAGCCACGAGGAGCAAGCAGGAGCAATGCATTATTAGCACACCGCCTCCCGGGGGCTTGCTGGAGGTCCAGCTGGAGGTCGGGCAGAGGATTTTCAGCAAAACACCTGTCCTTTGAACCACCATGAGATGCACATTATAGAAAAATAACACACAAAGGGAAGTCTGAGTTACCTTGGCTGCAAAGGAGCCCTGCAGTCCAGAGCACCACAAGGAAAGTGGGGTACGCATCTACACAGTTCTGGCTGTAAACAAGGAGGAAAGAAACAAAAACCATGTTACTGCAAAGTGGTCTGACAAGTACCTGAAGCCCCAAGTGAATCATCACCACTGAGCAACGGTCACAAACCTCTTTCATGGTTCCACTTACATCTCCCCACTAAGACACGGTGCCAGTGCCACGTCGGCAGCAGGCAGTGCTGAGAAGCAAACGGATGTTAAGAATCCATTAACTTTGCTCCTACAGCAAAGCGATCGGAAGCACAGATTCTTGATGTATTCACTTTGGCAGGGTTCCTGCTACTGGCTGTGCCCGTGCTCTTCTTGGAATTGAAAAGTGAGCAATGCAGACAGCAGGGTGTGGTCACAGGCAGGGCTGGGGTGGCAGGGAAGAAAAGCCCGACTAAGGAAACCTTTATGTCGACAGTAATGAGCACAGATCTGCAGACTGTGCCAAGAAAGAAAGTGATCTAGCGTTAAAGAAACCAGCAGTCACAAAAGCTGACACAAGGAAGTTATCTTGTGTGCCAGCCACAGTCCTCACTCCTAGGAGCCGGGGAGTGTCACTCACTGAATATTCAGTTTGAACTGGATTTGAACTCATGCTTTGCACCTTGATAGGCAGGCACTCTACCACTTGAACCATGTGCCAACCCTGCACTGATATTTGACATCCATGGTCTCCTTTAAACTCACCATAGTCCTGTGAGTACATAGGTTGACTTTATGAGTTTCCTCTGGGTACTTAACAAGTGACCACAACTTGGTGGCTTACAACAACACAACGTTGTCATCTCACAGTTCTGGAGGGCAGAAGTCAGATGTGCATCTCGCTGGGTTATAGTCAAAGTGTTGTCAAGCTGAGCTCTCTCCGCAGCATGGGAGAAGTTCACTTCATTGCCTTTCCAGCCTCTGGAGGTCCCCAGCATTCCTTGGCTAGTGACACTTCCAATGTCATTGAAGGCAGGGAAGGTGATGGAGGTTTTTGGATGTTAAATCTGCCATCTTCTTCCCCATTTAAAGTGCCCTTCCAATTACATTGAGTCCTACCCAGATAATTTCTTTATTCCAAGGTCAAATGGTTAGCAATCTAAATTCTTCCTTGCCATGAAGCACGTAGAGCTCTTGGGATTTGGATGTGTGTGTATCAGGGACCATTATTCTTCCTACAATTACACTCATGTTTCAGATGAGAAACTGAGGCTCAGAACAGCCGAATAACTTGCCCAGGGTTTTCCAGTTAGGGTCAGGGAAGCCAGAATTCACACCTGGTCAGTCTGACTCCAAAGCCAAGCTGCAACTCTGACTATACTAAATTCAGTATCGGATGTCCTCATGAGGAGTTTGCAGCCTAGATTGGGATATTAAACACACAATAAATATGGAAAAACAACAGAACAAGACATGAGAGGCATAAAAGAGAGTTAGGGGGCACCTGACCAGGACTTAATCCTCACCCTGACTTTAACCAGCTGTTTGCCCGCCACTGGCAAAGCAATCTCTCTGATAACAGTTTCCCTACTGCAAATCTTAAGAAACCGAAAACAACTCTGCTACTGATGCTGTAGCAGTGAAAGTTTTAAATCAGGGGTTCTCAAGAACGGTCTGGGCCCAGCAGCACCAGAATCACCTGAGAAGTTGTTAGAAATGCAAACGTTTGTGCCCACTCTGTCCCATGGGATTGAAAGCTCGAGGACAGGGCTAGACAATCTGACTTGTGAAGCCCTCCAGGAGGCTCTGTTGAGCACTGAAGTTTCAGAACCACTGGATAATGGGATTCCAACTTGATATAGATAGGTAGAAACAAAGATATGGTTTTCAAACTGCTAGGTTCTCATGCCTCAGTGGTACCATGAGAACTCTGGTGCCATGGCTTGAATATGAGTGTTGTCCACCAAAGGTCCATATGCTGAAGGCATGTGTGCTACCCTCATCACATGCCCAAACCAATGGGGCTGCCTTATCTTGGATTTGAACTTTCAGAACCATAAAAAAATCTCTCTTTACTTCATAAGTAGCCTTATGGATTTCATTTAGGTATTTCGTTCTAGTGATGCAAAACTGAATAATACATACAGACTGGTCAGCCCTAAATGCTGTACAGAGACTCCAGAGAGACCAGGCTGGCCTCAGGGAACTTCATGACACTCTGATGGTTGAAAAAGCCTCTGCTAGAGAAGTCAGTGGATGCCACAGTGAGAAACCCTTGTCTCCTGTCCTCGGAGATGGGCAGAACAAAAACCAGGCACAGGACAGAAAGAATAGACCCCTGCTGATCCTGCTAGTGGCCATGGATCCCCAAGAGTTTCCCAGACTAGTGGACACAGTTAGAACTTCAAAGGGCAGGAGGCCCTTACAAATTGGCCATTTGAGGTAACAGACTTAGCGAGAAAACAGGTCCAAGGTACACCTGTAGCAGCTCCTGTGAGCCAGCCTCACTTCTATTCTTACACATTATTAGAGACACCGAATTGCAGCCTTGGGACTGAGAAAATGTGATGCATTTCCCAGCTCAAGAAAACTAGGGAGAAAATGCCTTTTTTCAGTTGATTGAATAGCATGCAATATCAGATGGAATGCTAATGCTTTTACAGTTTGAAAATCTATTAATACCAAGGATTTCCCCTGCTTCCTCATTCTCGTGTTTCTGGGTGTTTCGTGTGTTTGTTTATAAGTAGTGATTTTGTCTGGGAGATGCAAAAAGGGAAAAATCCTTCATTGGCCAGGAATTTTCTCACTGCAAAGAACTGTCCTGTGATCTGACTGGATCAATTTCTTCTGCCTATTTCAAGTCACCTTGGTTCCTAATAGAACATGGTCTGTCCTCCCAACTGGCAGAGAATAGACTCCTCTTTGGAATTTCCAAAGTTTCTCTCTCCATCCAAAACTCCTTGAGCAGCTTCCATGCAAAGCTCCAAGACTATAAGCCCCTCCTGGAGGGGATGCTGCTAGGCTGAACTCAGGGAGCTCTGTGCAATCTACTTGTGGAGTTCACAAGGCCTAGGTCCAATTCCAAGGCTGCCACTCCTTGGCTGTGTGAATGTGGGTCTATTGCCTAGCCTCATGGAGCCTCAATTTGGTCCTCTATAAAAGGTGATGGGAGACATTCATAGCTGCCTTCCTAGATTGTTGGGAGAATAAAATAAGATAATGCACCATGAGACTCATGGGAAGCATTCACTCTGGTGGCAATTATTGCTCTGATGTCTTCCTTCTTAACCCAGTGAAAATGTCCCTTCCTGACCTGTCCTGACACATTACCATTATTTTGGATTTTCTTTTGAGTTTTGTGCCACTTTTTTTCTGCCAAAGAGAACTGACAAATCCGTTTGGATCCTCATTTCTCCAGGTCTATACGAGAGCCATTCAGTAGACCTTACAATACTTCTCTGTGCTACATTGGGTTTGATGCCTTATGCTCTTATTGTTTTTATGGAGAAAAGGATTTGCACTGTTTTCTCTTTCATTTCTCTCCATTTCTGGGAATAAAATAGAGAAACACTATAATGGTTGGTTTGGTTTGATTTGGTTTGGTTTTGTAGTGCAGGGGAATTGAAGCCAGGGCACAACGCACGTTAGGCAAGCACTCTTCCACTGAACTACATTCTCAGCCCTAATGTTCTATTAATTAGTTTGGATTAATTTAAAATAAGGAAATATCATGAATAAGAGTAGAATAACGATAGTATCAATACTAACCAACTGGGTCATCATAGACCTATCATCTTCAAATAGTTGTACAAGTTTTACACTACCTAAAAGTAAGTCTACAGTGGATACAGGGGAGAAGTTGACATTAGTATAGCAATTTCTGAAATGTGTCCTCAAAAAACAAAAGAAAAGAAAGGAAATAGGGTGAGGAGGAGCATCTGTGATTAACTAAGACATCCTCTTCTTGGAAAAACAAGAATAGTCTGCCCTTTAGCATGTTAGAGTTCTCAAATATATGGCTGTAAAGAACTTGTTCCTCCATGTAACACTTATTAATGACCTATGAACCTGGAATCCATAGAATACATTTTAGGAAATGACATATCTCCAGACACCCATCTCCTTTCTGTAACCTGCACTTACCTGCCTTCATGGGGAAGAACCTAACTAGTCAACTAACTAGGATTTTTCTCATAAAACAAAACATTGGCCACAGCTTTACTAGCTGTGTTTGTCCTCCAGGACCAGAGCAGTGGATGTCATTCTTTATGTGTGAACAGAGTCAAGGTCTAGCTCCTTTTATCTCTCAGACCCTGACTCAGCACTGCCGTAGTGGGAGATGGGCTGTGGGAGGGTCATCAGTCAAGGCCAAGTCTGCTCTTGATGGACTATGCCTGCTGGGATGTCAGTTAACCTCTGCCCCAGAACCTCAAGCTTTCACTACCCATCAACAGATATAGTTTCTACTAAAATAATGTGTTTTGAAAATGCATCAGGCTTTTCAGTCCACCAGTATCATTTATCCTTGATGCTGTTTTTTCCTTCACAGCCAGGGTCTCTAAACACTTATGATCTTACTCTCCGTCAACTAAAAGCATGCACCCTGCAACCCTGTGACAGGCACATTTATGTATAAATTGCATACACTACATGTACTACGTACGGTCTATCTGAGTATTCCAAATAGGTGAAGCTTTTTGATTGAATATATGCTCTTTTCTTCTTGCACCCCTTTTTGGTGTTTTTGGAGGCCTGAGGAGAAGCTATGGACGGGGAAGACTTCCTACAAGAACAACTCATAATCCCCTCCTGGTAGTTTCCTGGCACAGGAAAAAGCCAGCCATGACTCATCAAGGGCTCCAAAGCAACAGGCAGCACACTGGCAATGCTGTCCCCTCTGCTGCCCTCACTTCCTGGTGGCAGTCTGGAGATGACCTGAGTCAGTTTCCTAACAGCAGCTCCCCTTGAGCAACCAGGACAAGAACAGAGAGGATGGGTATCATGCAATTGTGTTTTCCTTTTGAATAGAAAAGCTGTTTGGAAACACCTGAACAGCTTAGGGAACAGGGGTTGAGATCTATTTGGGATGCAAATCAGAAAAGATGTTATGCAAACATGGGCTTTTCCTATATGCAGATGTATTTAAATAGAGGATCAGCAAGGTGCACTGACCTGCTTCTCTTGCCGTTGACTAGGGATCTATCAGAGAGGAAGTCTGTGCTGTGCTGTGGGACTAACAGGGGTCGTCTGGCCTTCAGTTTCAGCCCAGAGGTGACTTCGATGTCCCCAGAGCTCCTTCCGCGGGACAGTCATGAGTACCTGAGGGATGTATGCTTAGAATGACAAGAACACTACAGGTACACAGAAAGTCGCTATGGGAGCAACTAGGAGGGGGACCACTCAGGGCCACCACTGGCTTTCTCTGGATTAAGCTGACTCCAGGGATGTTGACAGGGCAGAACTCACCACAAGCCTTCTCTTCAGTCCATTTCTTGGTATAAACATCATTTACTCTTTCTGTGAGGTACAGGTATGGAGGAGTCCCGGGGAGCCTACCCAGCACAAGTTTTCATAATTGACTCCTTCTCTCAGCTTCTAAACTGCTGAGTGCATCTGACCCAGTCACAGAAACATTGACAGAGTTGTCCAGAGCTGAATTCCTGATCCTTGACATTTTTTTGGTCACACTGTTTCCATAGAGGCCCCTTGCTCTCCATCTTCCCCACCAACACATCTGCTCTGGCCACTCCCTATAGCAAACTCCTACCAGGCCTATTCCAGTTTGCTCTCAAGGAGCTCCTTTACTAAAGTTAAGGAGGGAGATTTCTATTCTAACAATTGGAACTTGCTTCGTGCCTTAATTCTCAGAATCAATTTAAGATGTTTAAAGATGTGATTTTAAAGACACTATAGCCAGGTGCCAGTAGCTAATACCAGTAATCCTAGCTACTCAGAAGGCAGAGATCAGGAGGATTGAAGTTTGAGGCTTGCCCAGACAAAATGGGGCTGGCTGAGCGCTCAAGGGGTAGAGAACCTATTTAGCAAGTGTGAGACACTGAGTTCAAACCTCAGAACCACCAATAAATAAATAAAAGATACATTTGAGAGAGGGCAGGGAAAATATGTAGGTTGCCATCTACTTTTTTATAGCATTTGCTGGGCTAGAGGCCCAATCAGATACATCATGTGTAAGTAGTGCAATGAAGGTATCTGATGAAAACCTCACGGAATCCAAAGAAAACACAGCCACTATGCCAGCAGTGTGGAAGAGTAGTGTCCTTCTGTCCAGATGGCTTCATTCTCATGGTGACATTGAGTTCCTATGAACTCCAGCTCCTTCATCTGGAAGAAGTTACAGTGGAATTCCACTGAACCATCTTGCTGGCGATGCACAAGAAATGGAGCAGGACGGGCTACCTTGTTCCTGCCACTTCTCCCCCAGGAGTGAAATAATCTGCTTCTAAGAAGCCAGTGTGCTTACATCTGGCCTCACTGGCTGTCAGTCTCCAAATGGCAAAAGTGCCACGTGGCTGGTAGCTGAGCTTGAAAGGCGGTTTGGAAATTCCACAATTGTATGGGCTCCCAGAGTTAAGAAGGCATGAAAGGAGAGTGGTGGCTGACTGTTGTGTTGGAGGTCCTCACCATATGGGTACTGCAACCCAGCTCTCAAAACCCACGTCTTTGTCACTTAGCCTCTGTGAGAGGGGAGTAGGGAAGGGAGGGGAGAGACTGCATGGAGAGGTAGGAAATAGGGAAGGAGAGCTTTCTGCAAGATAAACGTTGCTCAGGTACTACTGTGGTTCTGTTGCAAACCCCACTTCCTCCTTAGCGCAACATCATCCGCGCGCCTGTGTAGGCGGCATGAAATCACTGGAGACCAGGCAGCAGGCTACCGCACGCAGTCTCTGACTCACCCACAACAAGCTCGTCTACTCCCCAGGCAAGATGACCAGCTCTATATTTCCTGAGCCGTGGAGACCACACCTTCCCCGCCCCAACATCCCCACCTCCTTCCCTCCAACACTGGCGCTCACTAAAATGAGGAAGAGCACCCACAAACATCCAGGTGGAACCCTGCCTCTCTGGTGGTCTGGAGGTTGACCCAGGTAGACATGTGGGTAATCAGTCATCACTCCTGCAAGGAACCCCTGTCCCCATGGCCTCACTTTTTTAGTCAACAGAGTCAGGATTTGGACTCACTTGGCAGTGTAGACCCGCTCAAAGGCCAGTGTTCCTGTCCTCTGGAAGCTCCGCCCATTCTGCATCTTGCTTTCGTGCTCCACCTTGTGGGCGAAGAATCCTGCCAAAGGAAAGAGTTTGGATTTGGTTCATTGCCGGCATGCAGGAGTCAGTTATGTAGTTATTTTCTACAACGTTAAAATGCTTCCTTGACTTGATCTCCAAAACAGCCCTAAATGTTTTCCCTCAAATGACATTTAGCAAAAATGTATTCAGCAGCTGCTCTTTCTGATCACTGATCGCTGTGTTTGGTGTTGGGGATACAGTAGTGAGCAAGACACAGCTCCCACTTTAAGGCTTTTATGTACAAAAGAAGTAGACAAACAAGCAAAGCAGAAATTAGACTCTAGTGACTCGTGCTGAGATGAAATCACGAGTCCACAGTGCTAACAAGAGGTGAAGTTTAATTCATTGAAGGATCTCCAGAAGAAATGATGCCTAAGATAAAAATCTGAAGAACAGCCAAGCAGCTGGAGGGAGCTGTAAAATAGCATATGCCAAGGTCCAAGGGCAAGAACTGTCTGTGGTTTTGTATATCCAGCTTAGGACAGGGGATGGAGGAGGTGGGGAAGCAGGACTCAGTACAAGTACAGATGAGGCTGGTGAATTGTTCTTGCAATGACATAGATCTGTTATCCCTAGTCACACGTCAGATGCTTAGCTGAAATCTAAGAACAAACAGAAAAAGAGCCTTGGCCCTCGGACCTTATGTTCTATCAAGGATAATGGAGGAGACAGAGCTCATACACAGTAAACAAAATACATAAATTAAAATTGTGCAGTGTATTCAGTTACAGACAAAGAGAGAAAGCACAGCCTGGTAAAAAGCCATTTAAGTGTGTGCTATAGGATGCCCAGAGTGAAGTTCAATGAGAAGCAATACCTGAGCCAGGACTCAGACATGATGGTCAGGAAGTATTCATTGGAGGACACACACAGTGGGTCCCTTCTATAATCCCAGCTACTGAGGAGGATCACAGTTTGAGGCCAGTCAGAAAAAAAGTCATTGAGATCCTATCTCAAAGAACATGCTGGGAAGTGGTGGCATGTGCTTATAATCCCAGCTCTGTGGGAGGCATAGATAGGAGGATTTGTGGTGCCAGACTGATCCCAGCAAAAATCAAGGCCATATCTAAAAAATAACCTAACACAAAAAGGGATAGCTCAAACCCCAGTACTGCCAGAAAAAAAAAAATGAAGAAGGAGGAGGAAGGAGAAGGAGGAGGAGGAGGGAGAAGAAGGAAGGAGAAGGAGGAGAAGGAGAAGAACAAGAACAAGAACAAGAAATGCTCATTGGAGTAAGTGGAGTGGCTGTGACCTTGATGGCAGCCATTTAAAGAGACTGCAGAGAATTTCCATTTGAGGGTAACAAGGAGTTCTCGACGGACTTGAGCAGAGGAATGGAGTAATCAGAAAGCCACTGTCTGTAGTGTGACAGGTGTTTACGGGGATCAGACTCAGGATGGAGAGCAAGAGATGAGCTGATTAGGCAATGTCTGTGGGTGTGTAAGAGATGTCGAGGAAACAGAATCTGGAGGGTGAGATTGTAGACTGGATGGTGGAGGACCAAAGGCTTGCATGTTCTCTCTTCCCCTCTCCTATTCTATTCCTGCACTCCTATTTCAAGAGTGAAAGGAGGAGGATGTGATGGGTTCCTTTCCACCAACTTTGTATTAACCTCTCAAAAAGACATGGAAGTGTCACAATGTACCCCATACAATAACAATATGGTAATAAAAATTTTTAATGAAAAAAAAAGACATGGAAAGGGTGCCATATCTAGCATGTAAATAATAAAAGCCTTTCATGGTGTCTTTTTGGCCAAAAAAAAAAATTCTGTTTTTGTAGGACTGTGCCCATTTTGCCTCTGGGGCTAGCATATATACAGGAGGAATCAGCCACCCTGCAACCATTCTGGTAGGAACTTGACATTCACTTCCTTATTGAGCCTTGCCCCAGCTTTGTGAAGTGGGTGATACCATCCTTCTGTGCACAAGGACACCACCACTCAGGGAGGTGGGGTAACTTTCTCAGTCACTGCTGCTGGGTTTGGGTGAGGCTTGGGAATGCAAAGCCAGCTGAGCATGTGTCTCTCCTCTTGCTGTCACACAAAAGCTCTCTACAGGAGTCCAGCAGCTACTCAGGGTGTAATATATCTGCCCATCTGAGATTCTCTCCTTAGCAGAGAGGGTAAGAGAAAATTCTGATCACTTCCTTTCCAGAACCCAAGATGATGCCCCTTACCACTGAGCATGTAAACAGAATAATATTAAGAAATCTGGAGATCAGTTCCTCAACCAGCCGCACAACTTGGCTGGCCTTCTTTGTATGTGCTTCCTCTCTGCCCTTCCATACTCAGAAAATGAAACTTTCTTTTTATCAAAGGTAAGCCCTCTACCTGTGATCTTGACTCATCCCTACCACTGTCTTCATGTCTTTGATTCATCGCTGCTGTCCCACCTGGAATCCTCAATCTCTTCTCCTTTCCTATGCAAAAATACTAAACAAAGCAAGTCTGCCTCAGTTCAATATTCCACAGGGTTGGCCTCCCCTTCCTTTTTAATTTCATTTATTTACTTATTTATTTATTTTTGCAGCACTGGGGTTTACACTTGGTAGGCTGGCACTCTACCACTTAACTCCCTTTCCTTTTTAAGCCCAACTTGGAAGAGTTGGTGGCCTTTGCCCACTCCTCCCCAGCTTCTCGTTCCCCAAGTCCATGTAATAATCTTCCAGTAGGTTCCAGAAACTATGCATGCAAAGACCATCAACACACTGATCTTGGCCAGCAGCTAATATTAAGCCAAAACCAAAGAGAGAGGTGGTGGGATGACGAAGAGAGGACCTACACAGAGAAATGGCTGCAAACAGTTATTGAGAACCTACCACACATGGAGCACTGAAGCTGTCTTACTTGTTCTCTCCTACAATACCTTCAGTGACCACTAATGAATGGAAATCATTATGACCTCCACTTCTCAGGTGAGGAAACTAAGGGGCAGAAAACTCAAGTTTCTTCAGATCACAGAAAAAGATCTTCATCTCGAGACCCTGTATCAAAAACACCCATCACAAAAAAAAAGGGCTGGTGGAGTGGCTCAAGGTGTAGGCCCTGAGTTCAAACCCCAGTACCACCAAAAAAAAAAAAAGAAAGAAAGAAAGAAAGATCTTGAGATTTTAATTTTAATTAACCACCAGGTCCATATGAGCCAATAGTGTGATTGATACAAGTCCTCAAAAGAACTTGTGCATAGACTCGATAGAATTGCTGTTTGGGTATCAGGAACAGCTTTACTGCATGGGAGACACGTATCTGCATTTTAGAAAGAACCCAGGAAAGGAACAGACAACCCAATGGTAAGGAAGTCTAAAAACGAAGCCCTATGAGGAACAATACATTACAGAAAGAAGGTTACAGCTGACACGATAAACACAGAGGCAGCAGGCCCAATGAAAGCCTTTCCAGGCAACAGGACCACTGGATAGAAAATACAGGGTGGCAGATTTCAGTTGAGAAGTGAGTGCTTGATAAACGAATGAGAGACACATCAATGCGTAAGTGTCTACCGTCTAGAGTCAGATAATCAGGTTGGAGTTGCAGTGTCACCTCTAATGGCTTGGACACTTTCAAGCAAGGCCTTAGATCTCTATGGCTCACTTCGTGTATCTATAAAATAGGAATAAATAATAGTCTGTGTGTCTGTCTGTCTGTCTGTCTGTCACAGGATGCAGTGATTAAACAAGATGATACTACACACGACACTGGGCACGTTGCTGGCATGACATAAGCTCTCAACAGTCCTAAGAATAGGAAGGGTGAACTCCCACTACTGAAGTGTTCAGGTAGGAACGGTCAGGGGTGACATAAAGATTTTTGTATTCAGGAAACTTCATGAGTCTATGGTTCTGTTTCTATTGCCCCTCAAATCCCAGGTTGAATTCTAAGCCTTCCAATATGATGCCCGTATGGTTCCTTGTGAGCATGTGTGCTGGGGTAGAGACAACAGGGACGAGAACACTCAACTTCCCTCCATCAGACAGTGCTCATAAACACTCCCTCCGAGGGCCACTGCTTCTTCCTTCTTGACTGCAGAGCAAGCAGACTTACAGGCCACCTCTCCTGGAGGAGAGAGGACACTAACTACTCCCAGCTGTCCCCTCAACAGAAGGGCTGTGGGAACAACCATCCTAACAGAAGACTCTGTCTTTCCTGTGCATCCTCTGCTGTCACCGTGCCTGGCTTGGTGCCCCACAGCCCCTCCCACCTTCTTCTCCCAAGCTCATTAGTTTGGTTCCCTGTGAAAATCACTTTCTCCAAATACACGCGCTCCTCTAATTATGATGGGGTTGCTTCCTCTATAAACCCATCGTAAATTGAAAACATTGTCAGCTAAAAATGCATTTAATCCGCCTAACCTGTAGAGTGTCACAGCTTAATCTAACAGGCTTTAAACATGCTCAGAACACTTTTGTTAGCTTATAGTTGGACAGTACATCTAACACAAAGCCTATTTTATAATGCTACTGAAATTGTCACCTAATTTATTGAATACCGTAGTAAAAATGAAAAAACAAAATGATTGTACGGGTATACTTTTGTCCCATTGTGAAGTCAAAAAATCCTAAGTGGAACCACAGTACAAGTATGGAGACTGTATGTTTTTCCCAGATTTGCCTCCTGTCAAAGCTGTCGGCACCTCGGCAGGAGAAAGTAGAGGCTCTCTGCCTGCTATTCTTAGAAAATGCATTTGTCTATTCCCTCAGGGAAAGCAAGCCTCACTAGTTCTGATCTAGGCTTCTTAGAAGGATGTATTTTAAACTTGCACTCTTCTGCCAGATTTGCACTCTGCTGGATCACACTGGACGAAGGCCACAAGTTGGAAGATCTTGATGACTAAAGAATGTCTGGAGCCAGAAGAGGAAGCTGCACAAGGCGGGCAGGGCTCTGCCCCTCCCCAGCAGACCAGGCTCACAGAGTGTACCAAGAATATGAAGCCAGACAATGTCACAGATACATGAGGCGCTGTACCTCATTGTTGTGGGACACAAACAGAGTGTGCAGTGCTGGTAACAACGTGGTTTTTTTTTTTTTAAACTAACAGGAAGGTTTCAGAATAGGATTTTGGGGTGGGGAGAGAAAAGTATAGTTTTGCATATTTTTTGAACTCAGGTTTATGGTTGCAACCTTGAAGTTAATTAGAATTGCAAAGAGAAGGCTTGGGCCTTCCAGACATTCTTGTTTGCCTAAAAACTCACAGTTACAAATAAGTAGAGATGTTATCTCCCAGCTCATTTGAATTGTTCTTGTTGCCCTGAGCAGGCATATTCGGCCATTACCAAGTCCTCACAGATGATCTCAGCATGACCCAGGGAGCGTGGAGTTCCTCTTTAAGAGCAACTTAAACTCTTGCAAGGAGGCAAGAGGTTCTTTTGTGGTCTCACAGGGGCAGCAGAAACTCCATCCTCTGAGCATGTCTGGGACACCTCTGTGTAGCTACTCTGATCCCACAACTGCTCTGGCTAGCTTTCAGGAGGTTAGAGAGGGATGGGGACATCGGGACTATGCTAGCACGCCATGGTAGTCTGTTTGCCCAACATGAAAAGGTCTCATGCCCAATAATGTTTTCCTGCTGCCACTCTGTGTCCATCTCCCAGTCCAGGAAGGAAGGCCTCAGCACACGCAGCATTTCATGGAACTCTGCTAGTGAGGCTGTTGTGTCCTGTCGTGATCTATCTTACGTGCTCTGTAAGCAGTTGAGGTCTTAGATTGTGGTTGTGATGACTCAGACATTTAGTCATCTCTAATCGTACCTCCTGTCCCCAGTTGTTCTACAGAAGATGACTTCCTCCCTTCCAACATGATAGAAATAGAAGCTAGGACCAGCTGGACAGAGGAGGACCTGGTCCCTGGTGCACCTTAGTAAGGAGAGAAGACGCTTGGTCCTCACAACAGGGAGCCTTGAAGCCTCCCCTGCCTCCACTGTGAATAAGAGGGAGCAGGAAGAGTTAACTTGACCTTCCCAGTTGAGCTCAGCCCCAATTGCCCTCATAGATGAGAGTACACCAGCCCCCTGTCCATCAGGTTAGAGGGGAGACCCTACTCAGAGCTGAGCAAGCACTGCCCACCCACCCACCCATGCACTGCCTTCCCAGAGAGTGGAGGGCCACTGCGGGCCTCTTGCTGTCCCCCAGCTATCTTGCTCAGTACTCTGTTTTCCAGGTACCCAGGACATGCCTAGCGCAGACCAAGGTTTCTGTAAATTGAATATATGCTCCACTCTGACAATTTCCAGGGCCAAGGAAGCACTGAATGAAATAGCAATGGTTTGAGGAAGTGGCGGCCTGAATAAGCCACTTGTTCCCCCTCTGAGCTGCAACTCAACTTTTTCATATGAAAATGTTTGGATTTGGAAGCTGCAGAGTATTGTTTCATCTAAGAAGCATGCTTGGAGTGTGCAAAGTAGGACCTCTGTGATGGTGGGAAGCCTTGCTCTGTGCCCAGAAGGCGAAATCACCAACGGTCCACACTTGAGATGGGGACAAATATCAGATATCCCAAAGTGATTCAATATGCCAAGTTCCAAAGTGTGACAGTGTAAACATTCTGGATTTACTATTAAGCCATAGAGTTGCCCTTACTAATTATTCTGCAATTTTCTCTATCTTAATAAACTGTAAAGCAAGCCACCAGGATCCTTATAAAAATAACCTGAAAATTGTAAGGAGATAGCTCTACACGGCCCTGCCTTTTGCAGGTCTGTATCCAGCTTGGTTTTGTAATTCATAGCTAATGAAAATGCAAGTCCCAAACAAGAATCTCTCTTTCTCAATCTCTTTCTCTCTCTCTCTGTCTCTCTTTCTCTCTCTGTATATAATGTATATGGTACATATGAAAAAACGCTTCAAAAATTATACATTGCTAGAGAAAAAGAAAGTATTGCCAAAATACATGTTCCTTCAAAAGAAAGAAAAAATACAGAAATAATGAAAAGATGATTTCCCCTTTATCTCCCAAATTCACTTTTCTTCCCTTTTTCTACTAAGCGTACTCATGATGGGTAATGTCAGTTGCACAGCAGGTGAGTTACTGAAGCCTGACTTCTGAGTGAACATGCACTTCACGCTCCCTTTCTAGGCTCCTTGCTTTCCCCTCTTCCCGGGCCATGTTAACTGATAGGTAAAATTCTGATTGCAGACACCAGTGTATGTGGGGGAGGGGCGCACCAGCCTTCAGGTTGCTGCCCTTTCTCTGCAAAAACAGCTCATCACCACCACTAAAGTGAAAGAGAGATCAGGAGGAGGAGAGCCCCAGACTCACACAGAAATGCACACACCTCCATACATTCAAATCAAAGAACACAGAAGGTAAAAGGGTGTGTGTGCCTGTGTGTGTGTGCGTGCACAACTGCCTAAGCCTGGCTTACAGACAGCCATCAAACAAGATGCCCCTCTCTTCCTCACCAAGCCAGGGGCTTCTCTTACCGTTCTGGAGCACACTGATGAGGGTGACAATGGCCAACAGAACCACGTTGCCCACAGTTTCCTGGTCCATGTTGCTTCGGGCTCTGCAGAAGGGACTGGTCTGGCCCTAGCACTCTAGCCTCACTGTACAGGAAGGGGAAGTGTCGCCTGCACCCTGCCTTTCATCATTAGAATTTCCAAAGGTCCCAGCACAGTTACACAAAAAAAGAAGAAGTTCCTCTTCTTTTTTATTAGCCACTGAAGTGTCCGGGCTGCAGTTCAATGTGACCCACCAGGAGAAGCAGGGCCTGGGGGTGGAGCAGGTGGACCGTACATTCCCCTGCACTGCCTTGTCCTTGGAGGTCTCCCTGAGAGCCTCGAGTGTGAATTCTGCACCCAAAGCCTGACCAGCAAGAGCTCAAGCAGGAGCCAGAGGATCTAGGAGCTACTGCCGTCTTTGACACCAGCAAAGACAAAGAAGAGAAGGGAACTGAAACTACTTTTTATGTATACAGCACCAAAAAGACTTGTGTCCTGAATACTGTCCTCTGTTCCTTTGATTCCTAGGGGGTGCACTCACAGTAGCAGCCACATAAGCTTGGATGAATGGATGGACAGATGAATGAATGAGTGAATGAATGAATGCAGATGAGTATGAGACAGGTGATGTCTCCTTTCACGCAGAATAAGTAATGAAAGGAAGCTAGGCACTGGTGGCTCACACCTGTAATCCTAGCTACTCAGGAGGATCAGAGTTTGAAGCCAGCCAGGATAAACAGTCTGTGAAAAAACCCATCACAAAAAAAGGGTTTGGTGGAGTGACTCAAGGTATAGGCCCTGAGTTCAAGCTCCAAAACTGCCAGAAAAAAAAAAAAAAGGAGTGAAAGAACTGAAAAATTAAGGCAAAGATAAAAACTAAACCAAAAAATATAGCATGGTCAGCAATAGAGTTCGCAGATGACCCCTAAGGAAAACTTCTAAACAAAGATTGTCAAACACTGCAACTGAGGCAATTGTAGATTTACCTTCCCTGAAATTCGTCCCAGCTTAATGATGAGAGCAGTTTCCAGTGTGACAGAAAGTACAGGAGTGGACCTGCTGGGTGGACCCATGCCTCTCCTGGTATTCTTCAGCTCTGTAAAATCTGCAGCAATCCCACAGAGGCTTTACGGAACATGCAAGATTCCTGCTACCTTTGTCCCACACCCAACAATTGGCATAGATTAAAAGGCACTTTGATCAAACCCTCAGTCTGAAAGATAACCCTGGCCCATCATTGGTGGCAACAGCAGGAAGCTGCACCTCAGCATGGGAGAGGCCAGGGTGGGGAAGAGATCACGGCCCTGTACCAACAGAAGCAGCGGCCAGCTTGCGTATCTGCAGTCAACTTCGAGAGACAGATGTTGGTGGAGGTGGTGTGCAGAGCTTGGATGCACAGAAGCTAGTAAATAAGTCAGGCTACTCATGACACTCTGAGGGACTTTGAGTGCCAGGGGTACTTTGTAGAGCACAGAGTGTGTGTTAGTCAAAGATCTTCAGAACACAGAACATATGAATAGATAGATATGAAAGGAGATTTGTTACAGGAATTGATTATAGGAACTCCATGCACAGCCATGAAGGTGGAGAAGTCCCACAGTCTGCCGTCTGCCAGGTGGAGACTCAGGAAAGCTGGCGGTAAAGCCAGTCTCAGTCCAAGGCCAATGGCAATAGACAGGTCAACAGCACAAGGCCGAGTCTGAGTCCAAAGGCCAGAGAATCAGGAGCTCTGGTGGCCAAGGGTAGGAGAAGATGGATGTCCCAGTTTAAGGACAGGAGGAAATTCACCCTTCTTCCACCTTTTCTTCTATTTGAGACTCAACAAGTTGGATGATACTCACCCTCAATAGCGAGGGCAGATCTTTGCACAGTCCAATGATTTGAATGTCAGTGTTCCAGAAACATTCTCACACTCACCCAGACATAATTGTTTTAACAGCTATCTGGGCATTCCGTAGCCCAGTCAAGAATATACCTCAAATTAACCATCCCAATAGCCAGGCATGGTGGATCATGCCTACAATCTCAAATACTCGAGAGGCACAGATACCAGAGGCCAACTCAGGGAAAAGTGTGAGACCTTATCTCAAAAACAAACTAAAGCAAAAATGACTGGCAATGTGGTTCAAGTGGTAGAGCACTTGCCTCGCAAACTCAAGGGCTTGAGTTCAAACGAGAGAGAGAGAGAGAGAAAGAGAGAGAGAGCTTTCCTAATATTCTTCCAGTATTCACCTATTCATATTTCAGTGATGATGCATCTGAAGTTAAGGACAATCCCTTAAAAAGTAGTCCCATTGCAAGTAATAGGAGCTTAGCTCAAACTAGCTCAGGCCAAGTAGGAGGTTTATTGGCTCAAAGACTCCAAGGACATGAGCAATCAAAAGTTACAAAGAACAGAGATGGAGTTGGACCTTGGAGTAGAGCCTTCTCTCTCTCAAATATAGCACTACCAAATGGAGTTTCCTCTCTCTCTCTCTCCTGCTCCGTCCTCTCCTTCTCTCCTTCCATCTCCTCTCTATCTTCCCTTTCTCCTCCCTCCCCTCCCCTCTCCTTCCCTCCCCTTCTCTTACCTGCCCTTCCCTCCACTCTTCTCCTCTCCTCTCCTTCAACTCAGCATGTCAGATTTATTCTCTCTGTAGAACAATTTTCTCCTCACAGTGGAAAATGTGCATTTTCCTACAACTCAGGAATTATACATCTTCTATCAGCTGCCACTTGTCAAGCACAGACTACTCTCATCTAAGCTCTTAGGACAACCTCACTGGTCTAAGCTGGCAAGCGTCCATTCCCAGGTCAACCAAATGGCAGAAAAACTAGAGTCAGTAGTTCCCAAAGTCATCAGAGGGTTGAGGGGAACGTTCCCTAAAGAGAGGGCGTGCTGGCCCTGTCACATTTTATAATCCCAGATTAAACTGTCCAGTTTTTAAACAAGTCTCTCTATCCTGTCCTCAAGCTCATTCCCATCTCCTTCCTGCTCTGGTATTTATATTCATGGGTGCATCCACACAGGGCTGCCTAGGACACCACTGGGAATCTTCCCTGTGGGACCAGGAAGAGGCCTCTTGCTCCTTTCCTAAACCTTCAGGAGCTCTACAAACAGGAGAGAGAATATCCAGCCATTTGCACTGTAGAGGCGGAGAAGACCCCTGGGAGGTGGTTCCCCTGGGAGGTGGTTCCTGGGGGGCCCTCGCCCAGCTCCCTGGAATCACCTAGCGCAGACAGCACGTGCTGGTGGTGCGAGTGCCCTTCACCCCAGCAGCGATGGCATTAAATTACAGCGTGCACGTTAAGATTCCGACGATGGCGCTGCAGAGGCGCACTTAGCAGAGGTGAAGTCCTGGAAATGCCATTCATCTCAATAGAGAACTGCTGAGACAGAACAAAAAGGCAGGGGCGCCTGGGAGCAGAGGAGGGGCGCTGCCCGCCTTCGCTGGCTCCATTCCCGCACAGAACGATCCGCAGCCCGCACCACACTGGTCCCACACCCTCTCTGGGCCAAGTCACCAAGGAACCAGAGTAGCCCCTCAGCCCCATACACTGGGCAGCTGTATCTGGAGACCTGGCTGTGCTGGGCACTAGGCCAAGAGCTTCCAGCTGCTCCTGGATGCAGCCCTCCAAGAGGCAACATCCCCACCCCCCATCCTTTCCCGAAAATGTGATCAAGGACAAACAGGCAGCAGGGAGCAGAAGCAGGATCCAAACGCAGGCCTACGTGCTTCAAAGTCTGATGTTCTAAGTGCCCTGAGTGCTGCTCTGGAATTATTTGAGGGAACTTGGGGCTCCCCTGTCCTTCTGCATTCCAGCTTAGCAATCCTCCAAGGCTGGCAAGTTAGCAGTGACCTCTGTGTTCCTGTAGAGAGATTGTTTTTTTTAAAGGAATGAAAGGAAAACACACATGTTGCAAGAAGTAACATATCCCTGTACACTCACCATTGGGAAAGGTAATTTAACAAGAAATATCCCACAGCTCCAAAGCTAAGGTCACCCCTCTTGTGCCCAGCCCCTCCCCACGGACTCTCAGGACATAGGTCTGTGCTGTCCTCATATGTGTGACAGGTTACTTAGACAAATGTGCCAGGAGTAGGCAAGTATAATTAGCACATTCATTAATTAGAGCACTGTTAGTGGTTTGACTGTGAAGGACAACCATTTGTCAACAGAGATCAGGACAGCTGGGGCCAACCAGTGACTCAGAGGACAGCCATCCAGGGACAGCAGTGGCACAGACCAGCTGCTATTTAAAAACTCCGGGGCTGCTCATACACTTAGCGTCACTGCCACCTCTGTTGCCATGGCAACATGGAGCTACTAAGGCCCAGCTGTCAGGCAACAACATTAATGTATCCTTCACCTCAGGGGGCATGTTGCTATCTCATGATGACGCCTCCTTTCTCTTCCCAAGCCAGGTTGCCTCAGTGTTCATTAGGACGAGCATTTACCTGTACGCATACAGGGCACATGGGGTGGGGGGCAACGCTAGATGAGGCATAGAGATACAGCCCAGGTCTACAGGCATAAATCACAGGTGGTTACAAAGCAGTTTCACTTCACTTCAGTTGATCTAAAGACTATTCAGGACCAGGCACAATGACTTATGCCTGTAATCCCAGGTACTCAGGTGAAGATTCAGAGCACTGAGGTTCAATCTGAGGCCACCCTGGGCAAAAAGTGAGTGAGACAGCCATCTCAAAAATAAGCTGAGCATGGTGGTGTATGCCTGTTACCCCAGCTACACAGGAGGCAGATGTAGGAGCATTGGGGCCCAAGGCTACCCTGGGCAAAAGCAAAACCATACTTGAAAAATAAGCAAAGGCAAAAAAGAAGTGAGTCCCTGAGTTCAAACCCCAGTCTCACCAAAGGAAAAAAAATGAATATTGAGACCAATATTGATCTGAAAGAGAAGCAATGTGCACAAAGTGACCAGGCATGGTTTGTTCTAGAGGCCGCATGCTAATGGTCTTCACGAAAACCAAATCAGCCTAGTGCCATTTTTCCTTCCCTAGCCATGATCAGATGACTTTTCCATCCATGAACAGCCCATGGTTATGAATTAAACTGAATTGAGATAAATCCTCATGCCAGTCTGCGGATGAGGAAACAAAGAGATATTGAGTTTG